GAGGTTTTTGGGGGGTACTACTATGATAGAGTGGTCCCTCGAAAAAAAAACTATGATAGACAGGTCCCGCATGCATTTCGCATGTTATAATTTTGAAAACTAATTTGTGTATAAATTATTCATTTCAAAAATCTTGCAGAATTTGTTCAGCCAAAAACTTTTCAGATTGAACATTGTAATCACTATTGTTTATATATTGAAATTTGCTCGCTTTATTTTATTTTACGGTTTAACAACCATATAATTGGGTTGACTTATCTGTCATCCAAACCCAATATTGGCGTTTTTTTTTTAAATTTTTAACCTTAAAATGGTGAGGGGGATCTTTTAAGAGGTAACAAAACATGAAATTTGTTTGAAAATATACTGCGACATCTTTCTGAAAGGTGTAATCATAAATATTAAACGATTTGAGAGCTCTAGGTGTCTTGTTCTCAAGGGACTTGGTTATTTTCAAGGGACTATTTTTGGTATCAACAAGTACAAAATTGGAATGAAACTTACTTGATGAACTACTGAGTTTTCGGTTTCCGCCTAGATATTAGAAATAAAAATTTTAAAATAATCTGAAAAAAGTGAAAAATCTTTTAAAAAATTCATGGGAAATTAACAACAAGGAGATAGTTAATGTCGAAATAAAAGCTTTCAAAGAAGAAAATGAGGTACAATTATTTTTAGTGGGTCTCAAAAACTTTGATATCGCTCAGTTAAAAATCATGATTCTAAAAGCTTTAGAAGCAGCTTTTTGCCCTTGTTTTCAAGTTTTTCAGCATTTCAGAAAATAAACAGGACCAATTTCTCATAATTGTACCCAAATTACGATCAATTGAACTGAGGAAACATTCTCCCAATTTATTTTCAGTCACGTCACTATCTCAGCTTGTTAGTTATAACTGTTTTGGGCTGCGAACGTTATACGAATTACTTTGGAAATTATGAGCACGTTGACAAGAGCAAAAGCGAGTATAGTGAGCTTACTTACTTTTTGTTCCGACTTTCGATACGAAAGTAACGGAATATTTGTGCTCGGGGTGGGTTTTTTTTTCTTCAGACAAATTTCGACTTTTTAACTAGCCATTTTGACGGAATTTTTTTTTATCATTCGAAAGGTATTGTTGTCCTGAGCTCAAATTTGAAAAGATATTTCACCTGTGATCATTTTTTGTAAAGTTACGGGGGTTTAAATATTGCAATTTTGGCCAATTTGGGACAATTAACTCGCGATATTTCGCGCTATTAACGCGTAAGCGGAGAGTTAATCCGTCTTAGAATACGTTCCAAATTGGTTAAAAGAAGCTTATTTGCCATAATTGGTTTGTTACAAGGAGCGAAATCTATCCTTTTGTACTTTATATGGCGTGTGGGGGGATGATTTTCATAAAAAATGTCAAATTTTTAGAAAAAAAAAATCTTTTTTTTTTTATTTCATTGAATTTTTTAATGTTATTACTGCTCCATAAACCTTAAAAGGCAGTCGGAACATTCAGGGCTTCGCTCTGTTACGAGCAGTCTTGTACTTGCTTTGTGCAGAGGTGAGTCATGTCTGTTTTGTTTGTGCATGTCTGTGCGGATCTGTGCGGATCTGGATCTATTTAATACTGCTATAAGGCTAATCAGATCTAATCTATATGCAATTGTTTGGTACGGGCAGCCCACCTGCGTGTACGAACTCAATTTTTTCCCGTCTTTACACCACAAAGTATTTGTTGAGATCCACGAAACCTTTTTTTTGCCTCGAAGCACATTCACCGCTGTTTTCCTGTCAACACTCACTAATGCCTAAGAATATCGCTTAGGGGAAATTGTACAACGCAATCAAACGCTTGCATCAATATGCGGGTCGGGTTTGGATCCACTGAGCAATTTTGTTCGCAATCTCCTAATAAGCCTAGCCACCTCATCCCGCAAGTCCGAATTAAATGAGCCGAGCCGAACAAAGAAATGCAAATTTTCAGTGTTGTAAATGTGTTTACGAAAGATCAGCACCTTCTCAGCATAAAAGACGTAATTAGGACTCTTTCTAATTCAGGTAAATTATTCTCTTGTAGAACTATTTCCCTTTTCCGCCGAAGTCTGTGTCTCTTTCAGAATGTCTATATACATCACTTTTATAACTCGGATCGAGCTTTTGTCTTCTGGATCTACATGTGCGCCAACGCTAAGCGTACCGCACTTTATCTTCTATCATCATCATCCTTCGGGCCAAAATAAGAAAAGTTTGTTCACTCCGATCAATTTCATGCCGCGTTTTTCTGGGGATATTTGGCACATCTTTTCATTATGTTTTTTTTTTCAAGTCCTAATACTTTCCACCGAGTTTTAAGTTGTTACCACTCTGCGTCTTGACTTGAGGTGTAATTGTATCAATTAACCACGCTGTAAAATCTATCTGCTGCTTAGAAATAGAGGCGTTGCAAGCGCTTGCTTTGGTTCAATTGAACGACTTTCGTTATACTATCTAAATTTATTTTCGCCCATTGTGTAATCCGGTATCCACTAACTCTAAGCATTTTACTCCGGATAATCAATTTTTTAACCTAAATTTTCTCCCATTCCCCGTACTCAGCGAAGGCTGTTTTTTATATAGAAATGTTATATTAGTTACCTAGCCAAATTTTTTGTATTTTCTTTACAGAAATGATCTATTTCTTTCTTAGTTTAGAAACAAACATTTACTGGAAAGAAATAACCAGAAATCAGTTCACTGCTCAACTGCAACGAGATAAACATGCTTCAAACATACACAATAGCCGTAGCAATACAATTCAAATTAACACTTGTTATAACAAGTGTTGCTTTTGCATTAGGTTGCTGAAACTATCTTACATTATCAGGTCATGTGACCTAACAGTTAAGAAATCCGCCCGCTAAATCTCAGGTCGGGAGTACGAGTCACAACCGGAGAAGCTTTTTTTAGCCAGAAATAGTCTGGTATTAGCTAATTTTTGATTAGAAATAAGATGACAAATATAAAATTTAAAGAAAATCCCTGCTTTATGTAAACATTTCACAAAAAAAATTTTGACCAGAAAATTAGATTAGATATAAAGGTCAGATATAAAAAATTTTCTTGGCACGGGTTACTATAGAAAACTTCTTCAGGCGTGTCAAGAGCATCCAACATATTTTTTCCTCTATCTACTCCCCAAGGTTCATTCAATGGAAAAGTTGTTTCAATTTTGAGCGCAAATCTCCATCTTCATTTGCATCTTCGGTTTGGTTAATAACATCTGTAAGAATGCAAGAAATTGATCGGAGTGAACAAACTTTTCATATTTTTGCCCAAAGGATGTTGGAAGAAAGAACAACGGAAAATGAAATCCCAAGACAACCCAGATTTGCCAGAGAACGCAGAGCTTACGAAGAACAACGGAAAATGAATTTTTTGTGTTTTGTTTTGTTGAGTTTGATTGCTTTTTAGACTTTTGAAGTAGTTTTTATCATTATTAATTTATAGATAATTTTTGATTAGACATAAGATGAGAAATATAAAACTTAAAGAAAATCCATGCTTTATTTAAACATTTCACAAAAAAAAAATTTTGACCAGAAAATTAGATTAGATATAAAGTATTAATTTATAGATTAGATATAAAGGTCAGATATAAAAAATTTTCTCGGTACGGGTTACTATAGAAAACTTCTTCAGGCGTGTCGAGAGCATCCAACATATTTTTTCCTCTATCTACTCCCCAAGGTTCATTCAATGGAAAAGTTGCTTCAATTTTGAGCGCAGATCTCCATCTTCATTTGCATCTTCGGTTTGGTTAATAACATCTGTAAGAATGCAAGAAATTGATCGGAGTGAACAAACTTTTCATATTTTGCCCAAAGGATGGTGGAATAAAGAACAACGGAAAATGAAATCCCAAGACAACCCAGATTTGCCAGAGAACGCAGAGCTTACGAAGAACAACAGAAAATGAATTTTTTGTGTTTTGTTTTGTTGAGTTTGATTGCTTTTCAGACTTTTGAAGTAGTTTTTATCTTTTTTCTTCATTTTATTAAATACTTTTCATTGCTTCATTGTGAAACATTTCAAAATAGATTTGAATCATTCCAACCGGTTTTCCCATTTTTCCAACTTTAAAAACATCTAGAAATGAAATCCAAACCGTTATTTAAAGTCCTGGCAGAGTTTTTTAGCCATCTGGAGCCATTTGGAAGAAAACAGCGCTGAATAATTAGTGGAAAAAATCTATAAGAGTTTTTCAGGCATCTTGTTTCTTTTTTTTACGCAATCGAACAAATCGAGATCCGAACTTTTTGTGCCGTTTTTTTTTGGAAATCAATATCAACTCCTGTTTTTTCCGAAACACTTTTTCCGACCTGGCGCCAGATCGTCGACAATTGTGTCGGAAACCCCACTTTAGATTCTAAAGTTGATTATCTGACCAACAAACATACCGTTGTTGAGTTCCTTTCTGAGCGCTTCTGGTGCTACTTTGAAACTAGCTAGCACGCAACAGATTAGCAACTTTGCACTTCAAGGTATAGAAAAAAGTTTTAAAAGATATTTGGTTGTTGCTTATAGATTAAAATAGATTTTAACTTTTTTAAAAACAAAAATTTTGATGTGTTAAAAGTTTCAACAGTTTTGATCATTTCCATGACTTTTTCGACCTTCTGTTGCGTGAAAAGTGAAAATTGAGAGCAATCGTTTTCTCCGCTAATGAGCCAAGACTTATTTTGGCGCATTTTTCTTCATTTTTGCGTGTAATTTTGTCACTTTCTAAATAAAATGATTTACTTTTTCGATGCCAATTCAATTCAATTCAGTTCTAGGACGTTTTTAAAATTTGGTTTGATTTTGAGTTTCTTTTTTATTGAGTTTCTCGTAAATTATGGTTTAATTGAATCTCGAAATTGAAATCTTAAGTGGGTCATTAAAAATATTTCGTTAAGTTAGAGAGTCAACTAACATCCTGTTTTCTGCTAAAACATTTTTTTTCATTAAGAACACTTCTAATCATCAACTCAAAAACAGTTCGAGTGATTGCGTTGCAATTTAATAGTAATTTCGAGTCATTATAGTTTAAGTTTTGCTTTAAAAATATTTGAATCTAGTATTAAAGAATGGCTGTACCAAATATCACTTTCGTGCAAACTGATCAAGGCAAATTCGCAGCCATAAAAGTTTTGAATCATAAAATCATTTTTTAAAAGAACAAAAATTCTTAAAAACCCCTAAAAAACCCGTATAGTTAAAAATTTCGTTTAAAAAAGTTTTTCATTATTTTAACTTGATTTTAAAATGTTAGCTTAACAGTGCTCTGCCAGTGAACAAAACCTCAGATCGTTTTTTTTGCCCCAACCAGTCTTGTAGTGATTAAGGTCTCTTTTAGCCTTTTTTCCTCGAGCTTTTAGAAGCCTTAAAAAATGCTCTGTGCCAGTGGCGGATGTAGGATTTTCTCGAGGGGTGAGAATTTAAAAAAAACGTCGAAAATTTGTCGACCTTTTTTTCCGTCGACTAAATTGATTTACTGGATTTTCTGAGCTCTTCCAAAGCACTAAAAGATCTTATTTGACCAAACTTTCTCGTCCACCCTGTTATTTTTGAGTCGAGTTTTGCTGCTTTGATTCTAAATTTCAAACACGTATTTTAGTTCCTTGGTTTCGAGTCGCACAAAAACAAGGTTGTATACGAATACTTTTGTAACCCCTTGATTGATGAAACATCGTCCCACCGTCACTTTTGTTTCATTACCCATCAGCCCGCCCTTAAAATCCCTTCCCCCCTCCCGCTCCAATTTATCATCTGTTTCCACATGAGGCTGCGAATGCGGCCAATGGACTTTATTCTTGATGAATAGTGGACTGTTCGAAAATCCCCCCTACAGACTTCTCGTTACTGACCTACACAGAAGCAGAACTGGACAGCATTGTCTACTTGCTCAACTCCACTCTTGCTCTGGTAAGTTTCAGCCAAATAACGGCACAAATTTGAACTATGAGTCCACCCAACGATGTTCTAATATGTTTTTGATTTAACCCATCTTTCCTTTGCAAATAGAATATTATGTTGAGGACAGACGAGCTCAATGCCAGACTAGTGAAATACCAGACCAAACTCAAGGTCAGACTTGAGCAATAGAAACCTAATTAAAGGTCAACTGGTATAAAACTCAATGCACTCAGACAAGGTCAACTGGTCTGCTGGTATTTGATAAACTAATTAATTAACTGGTAATTAATTAACTGGTACTATTTGATGCTCAGTTTGTCGTGTCATTTTAAAAACACAATCTCAATTCATTCTTCAACAATCAGTATCTCTTCTCTCTCCTCAGTTGAAACCTCAGATAACTCTCAAACCTCTATCCCCTAGTCCTACTTGCTCTAACTCTGAATCTTAACAGGTTATGGGCCCAGATTTCTAAACTTTTTGATTTAATAATTATTTGATTTCTGTCAGAGTTTTTTTTAGCTTTTATCTAGCCTTTAGCAAAGCAGAGATGGACTTGAAACTGGCTGGATTCAGTGGAAAGTCTGAAGATTTTCCAGCTTGGTCGACGAAGTTTGTGGCACTGATGCATACCAAAGGCCTGTTCAGGACTGTGATGGGCAATGACGATCTACCAGAAGCTGAACCTACGCTACCTGAGAATCCGAATGCTGACCAGATGACGGCGTACAACACCAAGATGCAGGAGCGAGCTGTGCTGATCCAGCAGAGGAAAGACAACCGAAACACAGTGTGGTCACATCTAGCTCTGGTCCTGAACAACACCACACTGATGTACATCAAGAACGACTGCGTGGCTGCGGATGGCTATGGCGATGGGACGAAGGCCTGGAGACTGCTGCAAGAGAAGTTTTGCAGTGTGGAGAGGCCTACAGTGGTCAGTCTAGTAGGCCAGCTTGCGAAGCTGCGCCTAGGATCAGAGGAGGATCTCGATGACTACTTCGTTCGAAGTCAAGAGCTGATGACGCGGCTGAGTGAAGCTGGGGAAGCAATTACGGACACACTCTTCAATGCGCTCGTGATCAACGGACTGCCTGACAGCTTTGAGCATTTCGTGGTGCAGGAGAGCTTCCAGCCGGCCAAGACTTTTACAGAGCTGAGAACGAGGTTGAGGAACTATGATGACTCGAGACGAGCTCGATGTGGAGAGAAGACTGGGAATGGACACATAGCTATGCAAGCTGTGAGGAAGAAGAAAGGAGCGTCGGGTGGTGGCTGTTTTGTGTGCGGTCAGAAGGGTCATTTGGCAAGAGATTGCAGATCCAGAAGTGACAGTGGTCAATCTGGTGCTCGAGGCAGTGGCTCGAATGAAGCAAGTGGTCCAACTTCAAGGAAGCAAGGGTGCTTCAAGTGTGGACAACAAGGACACTTTGCAAGGGACTGCAAGCAGGCAAAGACAGGGTTCTTCAGTTGTTGTGCAACAACCTCAATGAAGGGAGATGATCTCATTGTGGATACGGGATGCACCGATCATGTAGTGCGCGACAAGGCTGTCTTCTCAAGCTTTGAGAAATGGGATGAGGGGACAACAGTTGAGAATCCGAACGGTACAATATCAAAGATTGAGGGCATAGGCTCGGTGGAAGTGGACATACGAGACTGTCAAGATGTGACGAGGAGCTACACTTTCCACAATGTGCTGTTTGTGCCGAGCTACAACGTGAATCTGATGAGTGTGAGCTCAGCAATAGCTAGAGGGTCTAGTTTCAGCTTTACATCAGACTCTTCTCATCTTGTGGCACCGGATGGTCGACGGCTACCAGTGAAGCAGCGCGGCAAGCTTTTCTTCCTGGAGTGCAAGTTCAAGAGGAACGCGATGACTCTAGCTACGAAAGCGAAGATGGAGACAAGTAGTGCAATGCTGTGGCACCGAAGGCTGGGGCATCTCAACAAGCATGATCTAATATCAGTTGTTGATGTCGGCGAGCTAGGGTTCTGCGAAGTGTGCACAGCTTCGAAGATGCACGAAGTAGCAATGCCAAAGAAGACAGAGAACAGGGCAACTGCAGTGGGGCAGCGGGTCTTCAGCGACATCCAGGGACCATTTGAAGTTGCGAGCATGCATGGAGCGCGCTATGCCGTGAGCTTCATTGATGACTTCAGCCGTCTGGCAGTGGTCAAGTACCTGGTTAAGAAGAGCGATACTCTTTCGAAGTTCAAAGACTTTGTAGCTGAGCACGGAACACCGAAGTGCTTGAGAACTGACAACGGAGGTGAGTATTCGTCGAATGCTTTTCGGATGTTCTGTAGAGAAATGCAGGTGAAACAGGAGTTTACAGTACCTAATACTCCGCAACAGAATTGCGTGGCAGAGAGGTACAACAGGGTGATAACTGAGATGACTCGATGTCTACTGGCCGATGCAAAGCTCTCAAAGATGTTCTGGGTACGAGCAATGTCAACGGCAGTCAGGGTTCGCAACTTGTGTCCTACATCCAGCAATGAGCATCGCATTTCATCAATGGAGATGCATTATGGGAAGCCATCGAAAGTCAACTACCTGCGAGTGTTCGGATGCCTGGCGTACTACCTGGACAGAGGAAACCGGCGGAAACTGGATCCGAAAGGCAAGAAGAGCAAGTTCATTGGTTATGACGAGGAGAGCAAAGCCTACTTGCTGATGGACCTGGAGACAAAGCGAGTGGTACGAGCAAGAAGCGTGACGTTCAATGAAGACATCATTCCAGACGACTTTCTGGTAGACAGTGAGCAGTCACAAACACTGGGTCTATCAATCGAGGGATGCATTGATGTAGAGGAAACTAGCACGAAGGCCATCACTGAGTCTACCAATAAAGCGAATGATAGTGGAGCAGCAGCTTCAGTGGGGGTTACGGAAGATGACCCAGTCGAGACTGAAGAATTGGAACCACCTTCCACAGAGCCTCCAGAGCAGAGGCCAACAGAGATTCCAGAGCAGCGGTCAACTAGAACGCGGAACCCTCCCATCCGATACGGACTAGCTTACACTCATGCTTCAGTGATAGCACAAGAGCCAAGAAGCTACTTGGAAGCAGTATCTGGACCAGAAAGGGAGCAGTGGCTAGCAGCTATGGCTTTGGAGGTGCAGTCACTGAAGGCAATGGGCACCTGGACACTTGTTGATAGACCAAATTCTCGCAAGGTCATTCCTGGACGCTGGGTGCTTGCTGTGAAGAGAGATGCAATGGGACAAGTGGAGCGGTTTAAAGCCAGATACGTGGTGAAGGGTTTTATGCAAGTGGAAGGACTGGACTTCAATGAGACCTTTGCGCCAACCTGTAAACCAGAAACAAAGAGAATACTACTGGCTTTGGGAGCGCAAGATGATCTTGTACTTCATCAGATGGACGTGAAGTCAGCCTTCCTCAACTCGCCGTTAACAGAAACTGTGTATATGGAACAGCCCGAGGGGTTCAGCAGCGGGGACAACCAAGTGTGTTTGCTACAACGCAGTATCTATGGGCTGAAGCAGGCAGGAAGGGACTGGTACCAGACGCTGAGCACGTTTCTTCTGGAGACTGGTTTCACTCGAAGCACCAATGACTTCTGTTTGTTCACGATGAGGGGAATGGATGATGCTATGATCTATGTTCTAGTATGGGTGGATGATATCATCATTGGCTGCAAACTGCAAGCAGAAGTTGACAGGGTGAGGGACCGATTCACTGACCGATTCAAGATGGATGATCGCGGTCCATTAGCCTGGTTTTTGAAAATGCAGGTCAAACGGGCACCTGGTTCTGTCACTGTGAATCAGTCTCGCTACATTGAAGACTGCTTGGAGCGCTTTGGGTTGGCTGACTGCAAACCAGTAGGGACACCAGCTGATATCAGCACTCAGTTGACGAAGAAGGACTGCCCTGGAGCGGGCTCAGAAGAAGCAGTGGCAATGCAGCGTGAGGACTACAGAGGCATAGTGGGCTCGTTATTGTACATAGCCAAGCAAACGAGGCCAGACATCCTAGCTACTGTGACTCAACTTTCACGGTTTCTGGAGAATCCTGGGAGAACACACTGGGTGGCTGCTAAGAGAGTACTGCGATACCTGAAAGGAACCAAAGATCTGGAGCTGTGCTACATCAAAGATCCTGATGGGTTCAACCTTTATGGTTCAGCAGATGCTGACTGGGCTGGTGACGTTGATGACAGAAGGTCAACAACAGGCTACAGTTTTCATGTGCAGCGGTCAGGAGCAGCAATCAGCTGGAGTACCAAGAAGCAACCTACTGCAGCAATATCTACCAGCGAAGCTGAGTATCAAGCAATGGCAGCGGCTGTTCAGGAAGGCCTCTACTTACGATCCCTACTCAATGAGATGGATATGACGTGTGATGGTCCAACTGTGATCAACGAGGACAACCAGAGCTGCATCAAGATGTGCAAAAATCCCGTAATGCAGAAGCGTACAAAGCACATTGATGTCAAGTATCACTTTGTCCGAGAGCGGGTCGAGGATGGAACATTTGCGCTCGAGTACTGTCCAACCGAAAACATGGAGGCTGACTTGTTGACGAAATCCCTGAGCAAGGCAAAGGTGGATCAACATCGTCGAACGCTGATGGGTTGCAGCCTGACATTGGACAAAGCCAATTCAGCCTGAGTGGGGGTGTTGAGGACAGACGAGCTCAATGCCAGACTAGTGAAATACCAGACCAAACTCAAGGTCAGACTTGAGCAATAGAAATCCTCCATGTTTTCGGTTGTTTTCCCTTTTTCCCTTTTTCAATTTTCCCTTTTTCCCTTTTTCAATTTTCACCAATGTTTGCAAAGGAAAGATGGTTAAATCAAAAAATATTAGAACATCGTTGGGCCCCCAAAACAGTGTGAACACACAAAATTAATCTGGAGCGTTAAACACAAGAATGTCAGTTTTTCGAGGGAGCCTTGCGAAATTTCCAAAATAAAGAACTGTGAGTTGGTATGATTTTTATGAGTTTGATTTCAGTTTGCAATTCATATCATTTACC